CGCAGGCATACCATACTGTGATAGGTGAAAGATGAAATGACTGAGGAAACAAAGGTTAGAACATCTGAGCATATCGATTTGCTAAGCAATGCATGCCAATTGCTCAACAAACTGGGACAGGCCTCCTCAGCTTGGCACTGGATCTGGAATACAAGGGGAGAAAGAGTTTTACTTATTAAAAAACAATTAGTCAAAAAAGACCAATTAAAAGAAAACCAGGAAACAAAATTAGATAATCTGATTTCCAGTTGGAGGAAAGATTAGAGTAACCAAAAATGGGGCCAGTTTTCACATAAGGTATATGGGTTGCTTGAGTTTTAGAACTGAGAAAACTATCTGCATCAGTCTTTGGGTCTGACTGGGTTTCTGGTCAGCATAACCTAGATCCTTGGTTAAGGGTCTTTAAGCAGCAGGGAGAGGTAATCCCAATTTCCCAGATGCACAGGATTAGATTTAAACAATGTAATAAAGCTATCTCACAATTCCCATAATTGAATAAGACAGAAATTGGGCTAGACCCATAATTGAGTCTATTGAATTGGGTCTGTTTCTATTGAAAGAGAACTGAGCAAGATCCAGAATTGAGTCACAAGATGGCGTCAGTGTGGTTCACTCAATTGCCTCAATTCCCTTAATACCAAACCAAAATCTAATAAATTCTGTGCTCCTACTGGGGAATTATTTTCTTTTAAATATATAATATGAAGGAGCAGGATTTAAAAACTGGATACGTTATTGAATCAGTTAACTCTTGGCAGGATCGAGAAAAGTCATCTTGATTAGTTCCCATGAGGCCCCAGTATGACATTCCACTGTAGAAGTCATCTCCAGAAGAGACACAAAAGCCATTGCAATTATATCACTCTGAGGGTGATGCTGACCTCACCAGTTCCCATTTACTTCAGAGACAGGGCCCAAGTCGTAACTCTTTGGGATCCAAAATAACACAATAGCAAATTCCCACAAATAACTAGGATTCAAGCAGACTATGAATCTTTGGCTTGCCAGAGGTAGGAAAAGGACATTTGAATACAGTTCATTATAAAGGGAAATGGATTTCAATCTATAGAGTTGTTTAAAGGCTTAAAAACTGTACAATATGTATTTATGTACACACATGTAAATATATATGTATACCTATGCAAATAAAGATATAGCTATCAAGCACTTTTAAATCACTTACTATGTGTCGAGCACTTTGTATCCAAGTAGGGAGACAGAGAGAGGTAAATAACAGTCCTTGACTTCAAGGAGCTTATGTTCTAACAGAGGAAACAATAAATACATAAATAACTGCATATAAGATAAATTCAGAGTGGATGAAAGGAACCCTAAAGAGTAAGTAAAGAAAAGAACCCTAGCAACCAGAGGGGCAGGAGGGGAGGCCAGAAAAGGCCTCTGGCCAAAGGTCATAACTGAGTCTCCAAAGAAGCCAGGGGTTTTAAGAGGCAGAGGTGAGGAATGAGAAGATTCCAGGCCTGGGGGGACAGTTAGTGCAAAGGTGTGGACAGAGAAGGGAAATGGAGGGAGGTGGCAATATGCTGAACAAATATGGTTCTCTGGAGGTTGATCCCAATTTGAACTTCCACAAAATTATCTGCTGCGCCTTGACATTTGCACATAGTCTGAGAACGCAAAAGAAGCACTCTTCATTTCACTTCAACTCAGATGTGACTCACTAAGCTCAACAAAGAGAAATCGGGCCACTAACCTGTGATGCCATCCAGTGCTGCCAAATCATATGGAGTCCAGTTATTTGTTAATGACAACAGAACCACGATGCGTCCTTGAAATTTAGCCCTATACACGATGTCTTCTAACCAACAGAGAAAAAATAAACAATAACCACCACCACCACCACCACAATAAATACAATTTCCCTGAAGTTTGCCAATGTATTTTTCATAACTCGCTCAGGGCTGTGAAATGGCCGATCCTATAAACACACTGCAGAAATTGCCTTTTCAGTTCCCCGTGGGTTGGCAGCGACAAAACTCAAGCAGTCACCTAGTCACACTTTCCTCTTCTTAATGGTCCTAAAACATTAGCTCTAGAAAGGGCTTTGTAACATGGAGTGTCAGAACTGGAAGGGCTCTTTAAACATAGAATGTCAGAGCTGCAGGGGACCTTGAATCATAAAATATCAGAGCTGCAGGGGACCTTAGAACATAGAATGGCAGAGATGGCAGAGAGACCTTGGAACATAGAATGTCCAAGGTGGAGTTGATCTTAGAACATAGAATGTCTGAGCAGCAGGGGACCTTAGAATATAGAATGCCAGAGCTGTAGGGGACCTTGGAACACAGAATGCCTGAGCTGGAGGTGACCTCAAAGGACATAGGTAAAAGGAACCTTAGAACATAGCATGTTAGCACTGGGTAGGTCATTGGAACCCAAACTGTTAGATCTGGATAAAAGCACACAATATTGGCTCTGTAAGACACTTCAGAAAATCATCTAATCTAATTCCCTCATTTTTCAGATGAAGAAACCGAGTTTCAAGGTGGCAATATGCCTTGCTCAATATCCCACTGTAAGTTAGTGTCAGAGCAAGAAGTGAATGTGGGTCTCCTGACTTCCAGCCCAGCATTTTCTCTTACAATGCAATGCCGTGGCTAGTACTGCTTTCAATGTTCCCTCTACCCCAGGCTCCAGGCGGCTGATCCTGTCTTTCCTTTTCCCCCTCTTCTCTTTTCTTCTTCTTTAAAGCTCTCAATGCACGGCTCAATAGGAATAATAAGCTCTTTCCCAGTGCTACTGCTGTTTCCTCTGCTAATTCATTTGGTGCACACTGATGCGTGGGGCACCCTGGGGTTTAGAATCCCAGAGGAGATGACATCTGAATGAGCATCATCACTTCAAGGGCTCCTGCATACGTGCCTCTCACCAACAGGCACACAGGGTGGAAACCCACACCAGAGTAAAATTTATATCAGGATGTGTCCACTCATTGAAAAACCACAGTTGTCCAGGACTTGTAAAAGATTTAGCTTAGCACTCAAAAGTTTTGACCTCATGCTTGCTTGCATCCTACATAAGACATGTTGCCCCCTGTATATTTAGTATAAATGGATTAAACTCAGCAATAGCTCATTGTCACCAATTACTGAAGAAGAAGAAAAAGCTTTCTCTTTTAGCTGTTGAGGCAGAAATCTAGGATCTATTTTTAATCTTCAATAAAGCTATTATTGTTGTTGTTACGATTATTATTAAAATGACTTCAAGGATTTCATCAGTGTGCCGATTCCTTCCACCAAGGCAGATCAGAAATCTTTCATAATTTAGTAGATATTCCTTGAGACATGATCAAAAATAATCCATTTTTAATCGGTGAGGAAGCTGAGACTTAAGTGAGGAAAATGACTAATAAATGTTGGTTGAATTGAATAACCAACAATTACAGAGCTAATTAGTGAGAGAACTGAAGCTCTAATGCAGGTGTCCTCATTCTCAATCCATGCTACTCTTCACTAAGCCAACGGCCACCCATTAAAAATATCAAAAGAAAGTTTCCAGTTATTCCTCACTGACCAATTACCTATGAATTTCTACAACTTCCCAGAACAATCTGGAAATGGTCTAATAATTGTTTACAGTGTTTCTGCTTTATCAATTCTGTTTAGAAATGGTGCCGAGATCTGGCAGGGGTTGGAGAGAGGCACATAGGTGAGGAAATACAGGCAAAATAAAAACAAAATTTATCAGTTAAAAAAAAAATTTAAAGGAGAAGAAATAGTATCTAGGACCCAACAAGAAAAACTGGAAAGAGCTGGGGCTGAAGGCTCAGGTCCAACCAACTAGTAGATCTCAGTCTTCTTACTTCTCTGGGCCTGACTTCCCATTGCCACGAGATGCATAATAATATTTACTCCCCAAGTGCTCTGTAATGCTTAATTAATTGCTCTTTGTGACGCACTTAGAGCACCTCAGAGGAAGGTGTAATGCAAGTGCCCAGGATTATTATCATTGCACAAACAAGTCCGAGCTCAGAAGAGGAACGATAGCTAACTTTCCATTGCCTCAAAGCTTATCCTATTTAAATGCCCATGATGATCAACGAAATCGATGATAATGGTGGTGGTAGTGCTAAGAATAATAATTCATTTCTTTATATGGTTGCTCAAAATTACAAAGTAATACGGATCTATGATCCCATTTGATCTCATGAGGGGGAAAAAAAAGGGAGGGAACTGAACTGGATGACCATAAGCTCCTTTCCACTTCTAAACTTCTGAACCTATGAACAGTTAGCCTTGTGAAGTAGTTAGTGTAATTATTGTTCTTGTTTTGGTCTGCACATGACATTTCATCAGTGTCAGAAGCCCTCAATGTAGAAACATCCTTTTCTAAGGCAATTTGGAATTTTTGCTATAATTAGTGACTTAATATGATCTCCGCTAGAACAACCAGCACCTCTAGTCACAGCTTCATGCTTTCCCTCCATACAAGTGTCATTATTCTTAGGAAACTGAGGCTTGAAAGAATGAAATGACTTCTCTAACATCACACAGTTAATAAGTGGCAAAGGCAGGATTCCTATCCGGGTTTTTATATCCCAAATCTTATGTTTGCCTGCTGTTGGGACCTTAGTCAAGTCACTTGACCTCTTTGGGCTTCAGTTTCCTCCTCTGTAAAATGAGGGGTTAGACTAGATGACAGGTAAAGCTCTTCCCAGCTGGAATTGGCCCTCCTCCCACTCTAGTGCCCTTTTTACCATACCACAAGACAACACTTTGTTCATAGGACTCTTACAGACTTGTCATGTTGTATTTTGTTTTATGTTTATTTATATATGTGTTCTCTCCTCCCCCTTCTAGAGCTAAAACTTTATAAGGGAATGTATTTCCTCTCCAGTATCTAGTATGATGCTTTGCTCATGCTAAGCTCATGCTAGATGCCTGAAAAACACTTGCTGACTTGAACTGGATGAAACTTATTTTATTCAATGTGTTCATAAAGTCTATGTAGTGGATGTTTACCTGTTCTCCTTTACACCATAGATCATGGCCCCACGTCTCTGCTGCAGGTAAGGGGAAATCGAATTCTCATCTAACATACAATGTTTTTTCTTAAGCGCTCCTTCCATTCATTTTCCTCTTCTTTCTCCTCCTTTTCTTCCTTTCATAATAATAGCTAACCTTTATGTAGTGATTTAATATTTGCAAAGCACTCTCGATAGACTGATGGATAGATAATATGTATGTGTGTATTTATATATGTATATATATATACACAATATATGCGTGTACAATATATGTGTACTGTGTGTAGATATGTGTGTACATATAGATAAATACGCATATATATGTGTGTGTGTATTATACACACACACATATATATATATATATATATACACACACATAATTTATAATTGTACATATATATATTTACTTGGTCCTCACCTGTATACGTATTTATATTTTACAGATGAGGAAACTGACTCAGACAGAGGTTAAGTGACTTGCCCAGCATTATACTGCTAGTAAATATCTGAGGCAGAATTGGAACTCAGTATTTTCCTGAATCCATCCACTATGCCACCTAGCTGCTTTAATGAAAACCACCAATGCCTATATTTGATCTCATGGGAGAAAAAAGGAGGGAACTGGACTGGATGGATGGAAACTGGGTGGAAACAGGGGGATTCCCATGTCTTCCATGAGGCCTTCAAATACTCCACGGTGATCTCCCTCTTCCCAGAAATCCTTTCCCGCTTTTCTTAATGTACCAATGATTTTATGCTGAATATTGTTACTTAAGTTTTTAGAGGACAGGGGCAGAGTTTTACATTTGCTTCATATCCCCATCAGCAAATACAAGATATGCCCTTGGTATATCCTGGGTAAATCTGTGTTTAAGGAATGAATTAATGAATTTCCTAGAAAAGTCTACCTTGAAAAATCACAAATAGAAGATGGGCCAGATGGGTCACTCTTAGAAAGCTGGTAGAAGGAAATGATAATATTAGCAATGGTTATTTTTATTATCCTTATAATTATTGATATCATTACCTCTTATTTCCAGTATAAAATAAAAACTCTTTCACATGTTGCTGAAGGCCCTCCACAATCAGATTTTTTCTAATGAGTCACCAATCTAGAACTAAAGATGGTGTAATAATGTGGGCTATAACTATGACTCACTAATGGTGAGTAAGGAAACTCTGATTTATAAAACTCCTCTAAAGGGAATAGAAATGGGTAGTTGAGGAATTAGTAATAATTAATTATTATTATTAATAATAAATCAATAATATTGAAATATGTAGGACAATAAATTATAAATTATATTAATTATTATTAATAATAATAGTCCCTACCCAAAAGTCTTCCTCTGACACCTCATTGTGGCATGGAGGTGACCCTGGATTCTACAACACTATACTAATGGAGGATAAGGTCTTCTGACAAGTGGTAGCAAAGAATAAAGATTTCAAATATGAGCCTTATAATGGGCTGTGTCCAAGAACCAATGGAGCTAGGTGCAGAAAGTGTCATCGTTATAAAGTTGGACACCAGAAGACAAATTTATTTATTCAACCATAGAAACTCACAAAGACCGTCTTCTAAGGACCTGAGGGATTGTGGTCACTGGAGAAAGTCTTATCACAACTACAAAAAAAGTGTGTATTTTTGATGCATTGAAGTAATAAAAATGTGCATTTATGGGATACTTTATAGTTACAAAGTATTTTATGGATATTATTTCAATAGAGCCTCACATCAACCTTGTGAGGAAGTTTGTATAGTAATTATTTCCATTTTTCAGATGAGGAAACTGAGGCTCAGAGAATTAAAGTGGCTTGCCAAAAGTTATGTAGCTAATAAGTGGTAGAATCAAGATGAGATTCCTGGTCTGCTGGCTCCAAATGTAGTACATTTTCATTGCAACATCATGTGTTTGGAAAGTAAAGTAGAGATAAAGACAGATTAAAAAATGGACTCCTTGAACAGCTGTAGCCGTATACACTGATACTCCCTTCCAAAATGGTTGTGTAGAGTCATAACATCACAGACTAAATGCAGATGTGACCCAGTCCAAAGGCCTGTGAAAGGACACTGACTGTGTCCAGAGACAGGAGACATATTTTCAGCTTTCACTGAGAAAGAATTTGATACAAGGTTTTTTTCCTGTAGAGTCCAGCGCAGGATGTAATTTTCTCCAACACTAAAAAAACAGGGTTTCCAATCTTTTGGATAAAGAAAGAAGAGTCAAAATTGGTGCTTCTATTTAGAAAAACTTGTACCCAATCATTTTTTATCATTATATAGCCCTCTATAACCTTATGGTCCCTTTTAAAGTCTAGAAAGGTACATATTGATTTATTAACAGCAACAACAACAACAGAAAGTCTTCTCATTTCATCTGGGACCATTTTATTTTTTTATTGTTGCTGCTGTTAAGGAAAGCTATTATTTTTCCCCCTTTAACCGAACCAAACTAATCGTTTTAAGAACAAATGTAAAAATGGCAGGTAGGTGATGTATGGACATGTAATGCCACCTACTGGACCAGATGGTGTTCTGCAGCCCCTGAATTAGCAGCTCAGACCAGGAAATTGCATTGTATCTTCAGTAAATGCCTTCCAAAGACACAGTTTCACTCTACCAACAACAGCAATTGAAATTAAACTGCTAAACCATTCACACCAATAATGACATTTGTAAGAAAAAATAATCATTCCCCTATGGGAATAATTAGAGATAAGCAATGTGATGCAGCAAATAGAACACTATACCTGTAGTAACTGTCCCTCAGTTACTATAGTACCTAACTGTAGTACAGTTACTACAAACCCAATTTCCTAGGTTTATGACCTCTATCAATGGTTTCTCTTCTCCTAGCCTCAGCTGCCCCATGTATAAAATTAGAATAACAATGCTTGCCCTAGCTATCACACAGGATGGTGGTGAAGAAAGTTCTTTGTGAGCCAGAAAGTATGATAGAAATTGTTGGAAACCATGATTGAGTAAGACCCAGGCAGGGCCTAAAGGTAGAAAATGGATAATATGTCCCCCTAGAAACTGCTTTTTCAATACATAGAACAGCAATGTCTCCAGTGCATTTTACTGAACTTTCTGAAGGTCACAGAAATATCAGGTTTGGTTCACCTCTGGACATTTGGAGGTGGGGAGCAAGCCTACAAGAGTCTACATGGAATATTCACTCCCAGATTTCATGATGGTAGAATTTTAGAATGTTAAAGATAAAAAGTACCTTAGATATCTTCAAGACCAACCTTCTCATCTTCTAAATAAAGAAACTGGAGTCAAAATAACTGAAGCTAAACGGCCTAGTCAATGAGTGGTGACTTCAAAGGTAAAAACCAAAGACTTTTGACACCTAGCCTAGTATACCTTCCATTATTACATACTACCTCTATTTCGGCTTAACGTGGTAAAGAGGAAGAAGGCATCATGCTATATGCACATGCATGGACCTCAAGCATAGACTCAGGAATAATGAATTATGAATCTGGATGCTGAAAGGGAAATTAGAATGTGAAACAAAGAGTTTTAGAGCTGAATGTGGACTTAGGACACAGAGTATAGAATATTATCATTCTATATTCTTAAACACAAATGCTGCCTCCTTCCTGAAACCTTAGATGCTCCATTAGTAGACTTTCCTTCCTCAGACCTCACATAACACTTTGTTTCACACCCATCTACTGCAATTATCATTTTTATAGCTATCTGTCTTACTTCCCCCCCACCTCAGACTCTAAATTTCATAAGCCTAAGGGGAATCAGAAAGACCCCAGTTCCAATCCAGCCTCAGATACTTACTAGCTGTGTGACTCTGGGCAAGTCACTTAACCCTGTTTGCCATAGTTTCCTAATCTGCAAATGAGCTGGAGAGGAAAATGGCAAACCTCTCCAGTATGTTTGCCAAGGGGACCCCAAACGGGATCATGAAGAGTCGGACAGGACTCAACAACAATAACAACAAAAAAGACCATGTCTTATCTTAACTTCCTAAATCGCCTAGTAGCTAACACAGTGCTTTTCAATGCTTAATAAATGTTACTGAATTGGACATTGGAAGTGACCCTGTCTTAGGGTGATAGGATGTAGTGGGTTAGAGTTGAAAGGAACCTCTGAGAGTACCCTCCATTTACACTGTATATATTCTGTATATCCAGAATTATTTGCATGTCCTCTCCCCTCATTCAAATTTGAGCTCCTAGAAGTCAGGGATGATGTCTTCACTTTTCTTTATCTTCCCAGCATAGAGCAGTGCCTGGCACATAGCAAGTGTTTTAAAAATGTTTATTAACTGACTCAGAGATCATCTAGTCCAAACCTTTCTCTTTCTTTGGTATCCCTATTGCTTAGCACAGTGCCTGAAACATGATAGGTACTTAATAAATGTTTGTTAACTGATTCAGAGATTATCCAATCCAATCCTCTCATTTTCTAATCCAGTCTCATTATCTCCACAGCCTAGCACAGTGCCTGACACCTGATAGGCACTTAACAAATGTTTGTTGACTGACCTACTTTATCGATTGAAAAAGTAAGGGGCCCAGAGAACTGAACTGACTGGTTTAGGGTCAGATACCTGGTTAGGAGAAAAGTAGAACTAGAACCTTGTTCTGCTCCCTCCACCTCATGGTGCTGCCTCCTGGCTTCCTCTATTCTGAAATCATTAGCCCCAAGACCTCTGGAGTTTTGGAGGTGGCTAAATACATTGTCCTACCTCTCAGGATGCAGTTCCCAGTTTCAAGACTGCCATAGTCCCTGTTTGCACCTGCTTTAGAAAATAGAACTAAAATACATTGACTAATTTGGTTCTTCATTATATTTTATCCACCTAATCAAAGCAGTTTTTAGCACATAAGCCTATGATGGGAAGCTCTTTACAGCCAAAAGAATGGGAAGAACATCTTGTACTTCCTCACCATGATGGACCCCTCTGATACCAGATTGAGGCAGTCTCCAAAACCACTACTAATGGGAGAGATAGTTTTCTTTTTATCAATTTTCAGGGACTATACATGGAGGTCTAAGTCAGGCTTCTGCC